CCTCACTACGCCACTGGTCGTAACTGTAATTGATTTTGTTGTAGTTGTAGCTGGTGTTGTTTTGGTAATTTGTGTTGGTGTAGCAGTAGATGGTGTTGTTGTGATAAATATTGTAGATGTAGTTATAAGTTGTATAAGAGACGTGCAACCATCAATCATTGGTACTAATTTATCGTGAATCTTTTCCAACGATTAATCTAACTCATTTATTGATTCTGCCCATTGATGCATAGATAGTCCGTTAAGAAATCATACAAGACATCTTTTCATAATCATAACATTTTAAAACATCTCCAGAAGTTTCGAAAATCCCTACAGGAAGTCTCCCATCCCTGCTGCTGAAAAAAACATTTGAAAGAAACCCTGGTCACATAAACACAGGAAGTTTTTTTTTAAAAAAGTACGCTATATGTCATTAATTTACATGCTAATTGTCATGTAGTTAAAGTCACAACAAAGTATGTTATTTCATACACTTTGTCACATCCAAACACACCACACATGTGTAATAACACACCACATTCCTTGTGATAACACACTCTATTTCAGCCTCAAGTCAAGGTTACTACACACCAACCTTCATGTTCTGTCATGGGAATATTTATGAAACAGATGTTATTAATTGCACAGTTTTGTATTGTTTAAGATGTTAACCAAACAAACTTATGGTCTAAATGAACTAAACAATGAGAAACTAAATGCTACTTCTTCTATTGTCTCCCTTGTAAATGCCACCTGAACAGAATTTGTAATGGGGAATTCGGTGGGTGTTTAATATTGTGCATAGTGATGGTAGAGTGAGATGCTCCCCAAAACTTCTCTGAATTGTTATCATAAGATATTATTTAGTTCACAATGTTTGTTTGTTTGTTGGTTTGAGACACATATTTGCCAATATTTGCATCATGTAAAAATGGAAGGGTTGGCGGACTACAGCTGGATAATAAATCCTTTCGTTTGACACCGTTTTACACAAACCTAAATGAAGATGCTAACTGCAGTGTTTTAATTAAATAAAAAAGAGCGGTTGAGTGGGGAAGGTTTAAGGTAATTCCTAGTAATGATGTATAATATGAGGGGTGGTGTTATATCATGTTATATGGTGTAGAGGGTTTGTGAAGTGATAGTCAAGTCATGTTTTCATTGCACATTGTTAAATTTCGTAATGTTTTTATTACATATAGTCTATACATTCTCGCAATGTTTTCATTACATAATTCTGCAACAATCTAAGTATACACAACAACATGCATTCTCGCAATGTTTTCATTACATAATTCTGCAACAACCTAAGTATACACCACAAGAATAAAAGAAAACCTTATCATACACTGCAACAATACAAGACACAACAACATAAACATACACCACTTTAACAACACCAAACAATGTATGGAGAGGTTATTTTGTCTGTGTGTCTTGTGGTTGTGTTGTTGATGTGTAGTATGTGGCTGTGTTGTCGTTGTGTGGTTCGATTGTGTTGTTTGTATGCGTTGTTGTTGTTTTTCGGTGTGTGGTGTGTGGCTCTGTTGTCGACGAGTGGTGTGGCTGTGTTGTTGTAGTGTGTTGAGATTGTCTATTTTAAGCTGTTCAACAATGTGTGACGATTAATGTTTCTTTTTTGATATATCATAATGCTGTGATGACATGCAATGCCATGAAAACTCCACAGTCTTCTTTAACTCTCAATATAGACCATCTATCCAATTTCAACTATGAAAAAAATCGATTGGCGGTGAAACAATGTGATAAACAAAACACAGCCTATATCACACGAAATTTATTACCGTGTTTTTCTCAACATAAAAGAAAATACTTTTTTTTCGTTACTTTTTATGCGATTTAAATCTACATATTCTGTGAAGGGGGTGGGGGTGGGGGTGGTGGTGGGGTGGGTGGTTGACTTTTAGCTAAGTTTGAAAATATTTTACATACTAAACATGCTACACACATTATACTGAATGTTTGACACGCTGTACTGTATGATGTTATTAGGATTGGAGGGTGTGATAGATACGTTATGTTGCGGAGAGTGTGTTATTGTATTAATGGAGGGTGTGTTAAAGAATTAACGTATGCCTCATCGCTAAGAGTGTGTGAGAGAGAAATGATGCTATTGTGTTCGGCCTAAGGGAGCGTGTGTTGATAAAAATAGTAAATTATAATGGTATTCTACACTTATGTAAACTAGCAACATTTCCATTGTTTACAAGGTGTATAAGAGAAACAATGTTGAATTCTGTGAAGTTTTGAGAATACTACTTCGAAAATTTTTGCCAAAACATTTCTGAGTGCCGTGACCCGGACATAGGGTGCAGTTTGGGGCCTAAAGCCCCCATCTTAGCAACTAGGATCCGTTGATTGGGCAAACTGTATAAGGTTTCAACGGTACATCAGCTGTTGCCACTATGGCACATACAATAGGGCCACGATACGGGCAACTATAATCGTTGACTAAATCGAATCGGGCGCGTTTACCGCGCTCTTGCAGTTGGTTAACCCACTGGCGAAGCGAGGTCGGGTGTCACCCAGTGCGGCACTTAATGGTGGCACCCCCCAGAGGCGTAGAGACTCTTCCCGGGGACAAACTTTCAATTTTCGCTTTGCACCCCTCCTCAAACTTTCGATTTGCACCCCCCTCGAACTTTCGATTTCGATTTGCACCCCCCCCCAAACTTTCGATTTGCACCCCTCTCAAATTTTTCTCTATATATTTTTACTATTTTTTGCCTTGTTGTCACCCCCCTAAATGGTGTCACCCGGTGCGGTCTGCACCCCCCCCCCCCCTCGCTACGCCTCTGGGTTAACCTATTGCACCCCAAGTGTCCATATGGACACTCTAGCGCCTACCTTCATTTTAAAGAGCGCCATAAATACAAATACGCTGCGCCACTAATATCGTTGGCTAAATAAACCAAGAACTGTACGACGGCACTACTGCGGTCGAGTTACATGAGCACATTGGGTACCCTGTGAGTAGTGTTTACAAATCCGCTTACATTTTTCTATTTTCTTCTTTAGAAATGGTGGTCACACGCCAAAAAATACAAAATTAACAACGTGTTGATAAATAAAAATAAACCGTGAGTGATCTCACCTAAACTTTCTCGAATATTCTTATATAAAACAACAGGGGATGGGAACTTGGGATATAGTTATGATTTTTAATCCATTTTAAATACTTAAACTTTTTAAAATAGAAAAGCATCTCATAGAAAAAAGAATTGCGCACCAAGCGAACGCCAAATAAAGATGTTCATAATAGTGCGCAATATTATTATTAGTACTTTATAAATTTACCTACGTTTTTTGAGAAATTGGAAGTAGCGTAAATTAGTACTTTCGGTCAACGGATATCACTCAAAATTTGAAAGAAAGTAGAGAATTAGATCTTTTACTTACATGTGAAATTTCATTTATCTATCTGAAATAGTACTCAAGTTATAGGCTTTTTAAAAATTCAAAGTAGAAAAAGTACCACTTCCGTTTATCGGAAATCGCTAAAAAGCTGATACGGATCTACGATTTTGATAAAATACTTATATATGAAATTTTATCAACCTAGCAGTGACGGTACTCAAGTTATCATGTTTACACACAGACAGACAGACACACACACAGACATACGGACAAGATTGCAAAATTATGTTTTTCCGTATCAGTGAGGTGTAAAACGTCGAGATTTGCAAAAATCTCTTGTTGTTTTTTTTGCACGATTACAAGACTTTCTCTCTATATATACGAGAAAGTAAAACTGTTTCGATCGCGGACTAGATCGCGGCGACGCGCGACGGGTAAGCTAGTGATTTATCAAAATGTATTGAGGAAAAAACTCCTCTATTATCCCTCTCTCCCTCCCCCTCCCCACTTAATAATAGGACATAGACGGGACGTGGGCGGCCCGACCATCGAAAAATATTGTTCGTCCCTGTGTAGGAAGGAAGAGATCGAAACTTCGACATCAATCATTGCTTTTTTAGTCGCCCACTCACCACATAAGGATTAAAGATCAAACGTAAACAAATAAAGTTGGACATTTGAAAACAACTAAAGTAGCTTCTACACTAATCTTTGGTATTTACTTGCTACTAAGTTAGAAATCAAACTTTAGTTTTGTTGAAAGCTTTGCAGTGCACTGAAACATACTTCACTCTTTTAAAATTTTTGAAAATCTGTTATCCTCATCCTCCACCACGGAAATACAATTAACATTAATCTTAGTCAGCTCCTTTTCAGTTTTCCCAAAATCCTCTTTTTGATGTTCTTCTTCTCTTATTCCCTGTCATTCACACACTCCACCATCTTTTGTATATTTCCATAATCTTACCAAATTACACCATCTATTATATCTCCCTCATTTTTTCCAATATTCACCTTTCTATACAGTTTAATTTGAGATCTAGCCACCGACTATTTTTAACTTGATCTCTATGATTGCTGATTGCTGATTGCTGATTGCTGATTGCTGATTGCTGATTGCTGATTGCTGATTGCTGATTGCTGATTGCTGATTGCTGATTGCTGATTGCTGATTGCTGATTGCTGATTGCTGATTGACGATCGACGATCGACGATCGACGATCGACGATCGACGAATGATGATTGATGATTGATGATTGACGATTGACGATTGACGATTGACGATTGATGATTGATGATGGATGATGGATGATGGATGATGGATGATGGATGATGGATGATGGATGATGGATGATGGATGATTGATGATTGATGATTGATGATTGATGATGGATGATGGATGATGGATGATGGATGATGGATGATGGATGATGGATGATGGATGATGGATGATGGATGATGGATGATGGATGATGGATGATGGATGATGGATGATGGATGATGGATGATGGATGATGGATGATGGATGATGGATGATGGATGATGGATGATGGATGATGGATGATGGATGATGGATGATGGATGATGGATGATGGATGATGGATGATGGATGATGGACGATGGATGATGGATGATGGACGATGGACGATGGACGATGGACGATGGACGATGGACGATGGACGATGGACGATGGACGATGGACGATGGACGATGGACGATGGACGATGGACGATGGACGATGGACGATGGACGATGGACGATGGACGATGGACGATGGACGATGGACGATGGACGATGGACGATGGACGATGGACGATGGACGATGGACGATGGACGATGGACGATGGACGATGGACGATGGACGATGGACGATGGACGATGGACGATGGACGATGGACGATGGACGATGGACGATGGACGATGGACGATGGACGATGGACGATGGACGATGGACGATGGACGATGGACGATGGACGATGGACGATGGACGATGGACGATGGACGATGGACGATGGACGATGGACGATGGACGATGGACGATGGACGATGGACGATTGACGATTGACGATTGATGATTGATGATTGATGATTGATGATTGATGATTGATGATTGATGATTGATGATTATGATTGATGATTGATGATTGATGATTGATGATTGATGATTGATGATTGATGATTGATGATTGATGATTGATGATTGATGATTGATGATTGATGATTGATGATTGATGATTGATGATTGATGATTGATGATTGATGATTGATGATTGATGATTGATGATTGATGATTGATGATTGATGATTGATGATTGATGATTGATGATTGATGATTGATGATTGATGATTCAAGATTCAGGATACACGATACACGATTCACGTTTCATAAATGATGATTGATGATTGATAATAGATGATATGTGATTTATAATTTATGATTGTGTCAAGAGTGAGTTGTCAATATTCCAATGCTTTGACGTCATAATGGGATAAGCAATGACGTTTTCCTTGTGATGTGAAGCATTACGCTAGACGTTTTTACTACAGAGAGTTTTTTGTTGCTAATTGATGAAAAAGGCTAAAAGACTTTGAATAGATCTCTGATCTACACACAATAGCATTCATTTAAGTTAGGATAATTTTCTGGCTATAAGACGGTAAGTAATTAGCTTGAATGCAGTAGGGAGAGTTTTCTCAAAGAGTGAGTAGCTCTAGATGCATAGGAAATATTCAAACGAAATCAGAGATGAGGATTTTTATATTTTTGCTTTGTTTACAAATGGCTAATGCAGGTTCGTATGATTCGTATAAACATTGTATCAATGCAGTAGTTTGTGTGCGCTATATGAACATTTTAGAAAATATGTTATTTTTAAAAAAAATGTTTGAAAGGTAACTTTTATAAAGTATATATATTGTTATGCTTTGATTATGTGCGTTTTTATCACATATTTACCGTATATTATAAAATGATGGTTTGGTATTTTTCTATGTTGGTTAGCGCTTTTGATCAATTGGGTAAGCCTGTGTATCATTTACTCCCATTCGTGCCCAAGCACGTGGGACAGATGAAGAAGAATTCAATTTTTGTTCAACGACAACGATATACATTGTGAAAGTGTGCCCCGCCGTGCTGAATTTTTTAAACGAGATCTAGTTTCACATTCAAGCAAGGACGTCCTTCAGACTCTAGCCTTGGATCCGAACTCTAGACTTTCTGAACTCGACTATCCTAGTACATCGTATCCAGCCAGTTCATAAAATATGCTAAATTGGTTTCTCTGAGAGATTTTATCATTTTATAAAATTTTTTTGTTTTAGTTTATGAGCTGTATTATTAATATCTCCAGCCTTTGTTTATTTTTTTAGCGTGCAATTCGAGTGTATTAGTGTCGCTGTTATGCGACAAGAGTGTTTCCCTACAGTATTCATTTGCTATTCACTTTTAAAAACAAAATTAAACCAGGGCTGCATCCCAGCCCACAGGCAAGCCGTACAAATCTTTAATTTATAATAATTAAAACAATTTTCATTGAAATGGTGTTGTTTTTTCTTTATACGATAAAACTTGATTTTCGCACTTGATTTCCAACTCACAGCTTGTTTACACTATCTCAATGTATATAAAATATAACTGGAAAATGTTACTATACAACAATACTGTAAGTGTAACTATTTATCTCTACAGCGACATGTTCACTGAGCAACACTGATACATGTTTGAATACCGTGTGGAGCAAGTTATATCAGTTTACTGACTGGAATTTTTTATACATTAACAATGTGTTTGCGAGGAACCAGTATTGTGTGTAAGTTGTTTATGCTTTAAAAACTATTTCTACCTTAATGGGAAGTCAAAAGGTAATATTCTGAATGTCAATGTTGAATTTTATGTAAAAAAACCGTTGTCAAACAGATCAAAGATGTATTTGTATTTGTATTTGTATTTGTATTTGTATTTGTATTTGTATTTGTATTTGTATTTGTATTTGTATTTGTATTTGTATTTGTATTTGTATTTGTATTTGTATTTGTATTTGTATTTGTATTTGTATTTGTATTTGTATTTGTATTTGTATTTGTATTTGTATTTGTATTTGTATTTGTATTTGTATTTGTATTTGTATTTGTATTTGTATT